ACATGGGCCAAACGATTAACTTCCCGATTCTCCAAAAACCTGTCTCAAGTCTTTTTTGACCCCCTCAGATCTTCTTTTTGCGCCTTTGGATTCCTATAATTCGCGTTGGATTGAACTGAAACGTTATCCATAGCCGCTGTTAGAGGTGCTAGACACCGTTCGGCGGGATGCAGCTCTATCGCTCTATAAGTGGTTCCGTCTCCAAGACATGGAATTCTATCAACCCGGCCACCCTTAGCGGGGCTATTGATGTCATTGTTATAGAGCAAGAAGATGGTATTTACACTTCTTCGAGAGTTGGCGTTCACACATGATACTGATCTGGCTTCTTCATTCAAGGTACCCTTGCTTGTTCGCCCTTTCATGTCCGGTTTGGCAAGTTTTCGCTCTTACGTCCATTCGAAAAGAAGGTGGAGTTCAAGGTGAATGGTGTAAAGCAAGAATATGCTATGAAACTGGGAGAGGCGGGCGAGGCATTCTTTGTCTTTGAAACGACCGATGACATCCCCGCATCCTTGCAGACATCGCCGTTGGTATCTCCGGCAGCCAGCCCGAGAGCCCAGAGCGAGCCGGATCTTCCCCCGTCGCTGCAGGAGCCAGATTACCTTGACCTTGACAAAGAGAACGGGGATGCATTGTCAGAAGGCGCAAAGACCCCTCACTCGATGGCGATGCCATCGAACCAGCTACGAGCCAACACAGATTTAGGTAGGGACAGATATTGAACTCTCCATTTCGATCTCATTCCCTTGGTACTAACTATTTTAACAGGTACAATAACACCCTTATCGCGGTCTCCCGACGAATCCGACGTGACTCGTCCACGGCACGACTCCTTGGGCGCTAAACCGCTGCTTGACCACACACTGTCGGACAATGTGCTTTCGACCCGCCCTCCTATACTCCCTCTCTCCAAAACCGCTGCAAATGGGAACGAGGAATCCCATGGTATCGAGGGCGAAACAGAGAACCGCTCTCGTAGCCCTCCTCTGTCTCCCCAGGAAGCGGTATCTCGTGCCATTTCGCTTTCAAAGAAGCTGTCTGGTTCCAATATCCCATCACATGTCACCGAGACTGGAGATTTGATGCTGGATATGACAGGGTACAAAAGCAATGAAGAAGATGCCCTTCGTGCAGAGGTTGTTGCGCGCAAGATTCTTGCGGAAGAGCTTGAAGGAAGCTATGATATCGGTGCGCTGATCGGAGCCGATGAACACGGCAATCTATGGATCTATAGCAGTGAGGAGTCAAAGGAACTGGCCGATCGGAGAGCCACTCTCAACTCCATGCGGCCAAACATGGGAATGAACGATGATGCTCTCTCTGACCCGGGATACCACAGCGAAGGTGAACAGGCTGTCTCGGAGCCATCATTGACTACGCGCCATCACCGAACGAAATCAGATGTCCAACCTGGCTTTCCCACCCCTCCTCACTCACCCCTGCATGATTATTTCCCGGCCGAAACCCGTAACTACGCTAAGACGCTGCGCTTGACGAGTGATCAACTTAAAGCCCTGCAACTGAAGCCCGGCGCTAACACTATGTCTTTCAGCGTCAACAGAGCAATCTGCACAGCAAATATGTATCTGTGGAATGGCAACACTCCGATCGTGATTTCTGATATTGATGGGACTATCACCAAGTCAGATGCATTAGGGCATGTTCTTAATATGATCGGACGCGATTGGACACACGCAGGAGTCGCTAAATTGTACACCGATATTGTCAACAATGGGTACAACATCATGTATCTTACCAGTCGGTCTGTCGGCCAGACAGATACCACACGGGCTTATCTTCATGGCATCTGCCAAGATGGATACAGACTACCAAAAGGTCCGGTGATATGCAGCCCTGATCGCACGATGGCCGCTCTGCGGCGAGAGATCTACCTGCGAAAACCCGAAGTTTTCAAGATGGCGTGTTTGCGGGATATTCTCAACCTGTTCTGCGGTAAAGAGAACCCCTTCTATGCTGGCTTCGGAAATCGATTGACAGACGCATTGAGTTATCGTTCTGTGAACATTCCATCTACTCGGATTTTCACAATCAATTCCAACGCTGAAGTGTCTCTGGATTTGCTTAGTCTCAACAAATACAAGAGCAGTTATGTGACCATGCAAGAGCTGCTCGATCATTTCTTTCCACCAACCAGCCTCCTCGTGCACGACGGTGGGGAAGAGTATACGGACTTCACGTACTGGCGGGACACACCGCATGAGCTCGAAGACTTCTCCACAACAGACAGCGAGGATGAAGATGAAGACGAAGACGACGAAGATGCCGATGAAGATCTGGCCGAAGAAGATGAAGAAGACGAAGAAGACGAAGAAGACGAAGATGAAGAGTACGAGGAAGAGATTAGCGAGGGTGAAGGCAGCGAGTATCTTGACGAGGTAGAGTTGGCCGAGGAAGATCTCGGGGCAAGCTACATGTCGCAGAACTCGGTTGCCTTGTCTAACCCAGCAGGCTCGATAATTGAGTCGGTGGAGGGGGATCTTGTTGTCGAAGAGGGGGCTCTCGGCGAAGAGGAACTTTCTCCCATCGCCGAGAAACCACAAGAATCAGCCGAACCAAGCACGACCTCTCTTCCCATCCGGTCCAAAATGCCCCAGAATCTTTGAACATACACTCATCGCTATGCCTCTTTGATAGGGAATCGTTCCCTCGGCATTTCTTGCGTCATAGATACCCATCTTGCGAGTGCTTTACTGAGTCAGATTCTGCGTTAGACTGCTCTGACAGCGATACATTCACGTTCAACACTATTGCATGCAGTCCTGGAGTTGGAGACTGCATTATACACGGCCATTTGTGCCCAACTCTTTCTAATTCATGGCATTCCTGGTGTTCATGGTGTTTCTGGTTTTGTTTTCGTACATTCATGGCGCATATATTTTGAGGATTGAATAGGGTCATGAGATGAATAGGTAATGAATGAAACAAGTAAATAGACAGGCGCAAACGTATTGAATGAGTCTCTAAAATATCTGGGGATACTGTAGAATACATTGTTAACGAGATCCAGCGCATGACTTCCGTGGATCTGCAGGAACCGCGATTACCTAATCGTGATATTGGCCGAAGCCCTGGAGCTCATGCTTCTTTTCGGCCTCATTTAGACATCACTTCCTCTCTCTCTACTCTCACTCTGAACGCTGTTGGAATCTTTGGCTGTTTTTAAGCTTCTGAGCACTGTGCTAGGAATGCTCCCCTATTACCTTTTCTAGGACTTCTAATTATCAGCTAATTCAACATCTTGACCACTTTCGCAACACCGCAATTCGCTCTTTGCCTCTTGCTTGATTTTTGATCAGCAACTCAGGACAAAATGGCATCTCCAGTCCAAACACAGGGTCCAGCACCTACGGCACAACCTCTCACCCCACCTGCCGAATCCTCCTCCGCCGCGAACGGGGCCTCCGCGCCCGCTGCAACAAACTCGCAGACCCAACCCCACGTTCCAGCACCAGGGCCTTCAACAACAGTGCCACAACCGCCGCCAGTGCCCGGCATATCAACTCAAGACAGTGGGAAAACGCGACGACCAAGGGATGTGCGGCTGGTCCACATGCTCCTCGCCTCACTCGGGGTAACTTCCTACCAAGACCGGGTTCCCCTCCAATTGCTGGACTTCGCCTACCGCTACACAGCAAATGTGCTACAAGACTCTGTGCACCTCGCGACAGAAGGATACGCCGCGGCAACAGATGGTGCACCGGGCGCAAAGGGCTCTGGCGAAGTGAATAGTGTTTCTTTGCCCGCATTGCGGTTGGCCATTGCCTCCCGCTTGCACTTCCAGTTCCAGACAGGGCTACCGAAGGAGTTTCTTATGGAGGTCGCGTCAGAGAGGAACCGTATCGCTTTGCCCGGTGTGTCACGGGGCTTTGACTCTGCTGCTGGCGCTAATGGCGCTGTTCCTGCGGCGAATCAGAGTGTTGTTATTGGTGGTATGCGCTTACCGCCTGAGCGCTTCTGCCTTACTGGGATGGGGTGGAATATGAAGGATGAGTGGGATAGTGAGGGCGAGGAAGATGATATGCCTGATGTGATGCAGCAGCCTGGGGCTGGGAAGGGTGCTGGTGGCGACGGAACTGCAGAAAATGAAGACGAGGATGATAATGATGGTAAGATGGAGGATATCTTCGGTGAAGATACTACTATGGGCGAGGCGGGCGATGGAGACGAGGACCGGAACATGACTGATGTTTAAGGCAAGTGCATTTACGTCCAGAGGTTCTTCTGCCTTTGGCCTTTGCTTGGTGGTGTTTCTGGCGCTTGGTGTTGTCATTCATCTTTTTCTCTCTAATCTGTCATGGGAAGGGGTCCTGGTCTTTACTACCATGAAAAGCATCTATCTCATGACTTGTGTCTACAAATTCGGGTCAAAGTCCCATCATCTGATAATAAAGGCAAATAAACCGATAAAGAAGGCATCCTTCTGGTCAATAAAACCAAGATATGCAATCGTCTGTGTGTATATTGTACATAATCGAGTTCATCCCATCGCTCCGCATTCGGGATGATCATGCAATGTAATAAGAAGATGCCCAGCAAAACGCCCGCATTCTTTGCCTTTGTGCGCCATGAGGAGAGAGAGAAAGAGAAAGAGAAAGAGAGAGGGAAATCGACATCAAGTCTGAGTCCGGGTTGGCCAAGCAAGTCCAGGGCCAGTCTACCCGGGAGGATCCAGTTTGATATCTGTCCGTCAAACCAAGAGCCGGAAGGAGGTCAGGCTAGACCTCCGGGACTGAAAGATATGGGCCTAGTACTGTCTGACATACAAGGCCCAGCCAACAAGGTAGTCAGGTCAGATGAGTCTAACAGCTTCCTTCCCCAAACACTTAGCCCAAAGGCCAAAGTCCTCGCCCTCCGACCTCGGAGAAACGCAAGAAGCAGAATACTCAAGACGCCGAAACCAATATAGACAAGAAATACTCACACATAAAAGGAAGATAGCGAGAGAGGGAAAGATACGTGGAAGAGAAAGTCTCCAATCATTTTCCAGCCGCTCGAGTCCGCGCTTCATCCTCACGCATCATGCGAATCACTTCCGCACGCCGCTTCTCAACACGTGCAAGATCCTCCTCGCGCACGCGTCGCCGTTCCTCATACCCTGCGAACCACTCCTCGCGTGCGCGGTCCTCTTCTTCCGGCTTCGCGTGGGCGAGCATGCATGAATTCATTGCGAGACGTTGCTGGCGGCAGACCCATGTTGCAGTGACAGTACGGTTAACGGCGCACTCGGCGAACGCTATATCATCATTGGGTAAGTAGGTGGTTTCAAGCATCTTGAAGGTGTGGGGAGTGGATTATGGTCATGGAGTCAGATTTAGTCCTCCGTTTGGCACACACAACCAGCTTTTGTATATTGAAAGCTGTACAGATGACCTGTTTGGCGTAGAATTAAAATAAATTGCCTACCTTTAATTTCGGGGGCGCAATGGGCGCGTACTCGCTTGTAGTATAGCAGTTTCACTTCTTGTTCTTGGGGGGCTGAGAGCGGAAGTGGGTTGCGAAGATTATATTGTTTGGCTGCACTCTTAGGTTCACCTGTTGAAGACGTATCGGGAGATGTGGAAGATGTAGCCATTGAGACTGTAAGTCGATCTTAAAGATCGAAGTTGATCAGGTTGAATGTATGGGATGGTTCGATCGGAGGGTTTGCTTTAGAGGAGGATTGGTGTCGGTCGTTGAGGGACAAGATGTAAATCTGGGCTGTTCCAAAGCTCAGGAAAGCAAGCCAATAGAGGTAAGAGTAATTCCAAGAGAGTTCAACTGAATGGCTTTCCAGAGAAGATCGAGACCAAGTGGGAGTGTTGATTGCGAGTGAGCCGAGCTCAGGCGGAGAGAATGTTACCATCGGCAGAATCAGAAAAAAAAAGGTCTCCGACTTTGCACCTTCAGACTACACTCTTCTGTTGGAGACTTTTACGTTTTTCTTTTGGTTCTCTAATTTTTTCTCTTCCGTCTATACCTTCTAATATTAGAATTAGTGTCTTGAGAATTAGCAACACCAAAAATCAGCATGTCATCCATGCGCAACGCCGTCCAACGGCGGAACCACAAAGAACGTGGCCAAGTCCAGGGCCGCGAGAAATGGGGTCTCCTCGAGAAGCACAAGGTCAGTCCCCGTGGAGGAAATCTTGGAATATTGAGCAATAGCCCAAGCTTTTTTCTATGCCCAATCTCGAGACAAATGTGCTAACTTCAACAGGATTACTCGCTCCGTGCCAAAGATTATAATGCCAAGAAGGCTAAGCTGAAGCGCCTTGAAGAGAAGGTGCGGGATCGCAACCCCGATGAGTTCGCCTTCGGTATGATGGGAGACAAGAATCGGACGCAGGGTCGGCACGGACGAGGCAAAGGCACAGCACGAGACTCTGCCACAGCACAGGGACTGAGCCACGAGGCAATCAAGCTGCTCAAAACACAAGATAAAGGCTATCTTCGGACAGTTGGCGAGCGGATACGCCGTGAGATTGAGCGCCTGGAGCGCGAAGTGGAATTGCAAGATGGCATGAACAAGGCTCTTGGCAAGAAGGATGGAAAAAACGCAGAGGAGAGCGATGGCGATGATGACGGATTCGACGACGATTCCGACTTCGATTTCGGAGCTCCGGTGCAGCCGAAACCAACCAGAATGGTGTTTGCAGATGATCGCCAAGACCAGTTGGCAATGAAGAAGCAGAGGATACAAAAAGAAGAGCCTGCTCCAGATCCAGAGGAAGAAGATCAGACGTCACGCAAGACCGGCAAGACACCTAAGCAGCTTCAGGCCGAGCGAAAAGCACTTGTGGATGCTCGCCGAGCTCGCAAGCTCCGGAAACGTACCATTGAGGCCCGCAATAACAAGCTGACTGCATTGCACAAGCAACACGCCGAAATCCGGACCGCAGAGCAAGAGCTTGACTGGCAGCGGGCCAAGATGGATAATTCCGTGGGGGGGCACCAACAAGGATGGAATCAAGTGGAAGATCCGTGAGCGCAAGCGCTAAGTGTTTTTTGTTTCGACGGCGTTAATGAGTGATGACTCGCTATCACCTTTTTTGTACATATTGATACCAACCACCATAGAGGCAGTCCGGCGCATACAGTAGCACCTAAGGAACCCACTTTAGTTCTGACCATCGACTCCTAGAAAAGCTCGACAACATCAAGAGCTTTGCGTGATGTGATAGCTGGAAGACTGATTGATCTACCAGAAAATTTGACCTTTGACCACCTCAAGTACTGCGACGCCACCCCTACATTTGAATGTGGTTGAAATGATATCAAGACTGGCCTCTCTCTTGTGATAAATACTATACACAATTCACAAACGGACGATTTCGGTCTGTACCCACAAAAGCACAGCGTGCCGGAATTCCTGGCATAAAAGATATAGCTATGTCATTGCGGCCTCATCCAGCCAAAGTAAAGCTTGTTGTAATCGTTTCATGCGGTCCTTGCGGGCATTGCGTAACATCATAGCACCACCTGTTTCAATTCCATCCATTTTCAGCATCCCTATAGGCATCGTCTCGCTTAGCTTCTTGTGCTCGAAATCACGCTTCTTGATATCGGCTGGTGGTTGGGTGGCGTGATTGTCACAAAGTGGGATGATATCATGCTCGAACCAGACAGTCAAGGCAAATGCTTGCTCTGTCCCTGTGTGCAGTGTTTCTATTTCCGGTCTAACCTGAAGTGGGTAGTTCGTTTCCATTGGCGTCGCAGCCCTGACCCCAGTGTATTGACTGTGTGGACATGGGGTCTTCAATATTGTTTGTTGTATAACTCAAACCACTCCTCTTGATTTGCAGCGAGTGATCATTTGGCGAGCGGCAGCCAACATTGAGTGTATCAGCGGCCTTGATTGCTGGCTCGTGCACCTCGGCGGATTGAGGGTTTGGTTCTGGCTTTCACATGTCATGAGGCTTTGCTTCCTTTTGCATGATCGATCCATCTTTTGATGGCTTCGAACTCAAATTATGGTCGCTGCGAGAGTTGGTATACTCTGGATGGTCGATTGGGCCCCCCACGCCTAGGAAGCCATACGTCCTTTGGAAGGTAGGGAGTGGATTGGATGCCTGGAGCCTATGCGGAGACAATGCAACATCTCCGGTCATTCAGAGCGAGACTCTGTTTCCCTTGGGCCTCGCTCTCATCGAGCTATCTGTATGCCAGATACTAGAGGCACTACGTATACTGCCAGATGATGATCGTGGCATATATTGATCTAAAGACTACAACTCGGCTCTTACAATTTTGGAGGAGCAAAGCAGTGGAGAATATGAAAAGGTAACAGGGTGATGTTTCCTTGATACTGGAACCAAAGAGCCTATATCGGAAAATGAGCAGATGCAAGGTTAGATATCTCGACTCATCGTCTCTCCATTAGTTAAAAATCCAAAGAATTTTGAGGGTAGATCTTGATTTTTTCAATATACAACAAAGTCAAAGAAGCCATCATAAACAGCCGTATAATATATTTATTAATACAACAATATATTTCCTTGCACTTCTAATTGCGGGTTAGATAAACGTTCCACTGTCTACGAAACCGTCCACCTCACACATGAGGTAAAGTTAGGGCTTCTTTCCGTTTGATCATGCGGTTATGAACATATCCATTCAGTATCATTCGGTATGTGTAGTTCAACAAAGCCCTAAATTGAACATGAAAGAGTATCAATAGCAGAAGAGGTCAGAGGAAATCAAAGCTAGATCAAGCCTTAATATCCCCTGGTGTAAGTGTAGGCGGGTACGATTGCCTACTTGGGAAGAAGAGTAGGAAAAGGGCCAATGATAAGAGTCAAAGTGTGCGATTCGCACGGAGTGAGATCATACTTGATATATAAATACTGCCAACGTCTCTGGCCTCAGTAGATATAGGTACCTACCTTAGTAGCTCTGGAGGTAGAAGAGTCTCAGTAATCACATCATCGCTGATAGGACAATCTCCCCACCTGGGCAGACCTAATCGACGCTTAATAATCATTTGCCACCCCTCCAAAAGGGAAGGTTATCTTCTCATTTCTTCTTTCTCTTCGTACCTCACTAATCACACAATGGCTCCTTCATTCATGACCATTGACACAAACGATATGGACGTGGATTTCTCCGTCCAGGCCAAGCGCACCCTCCTCCTAGCACCCCCCTCCATCGCCACCCAAGAGGACAAACTCCGCGGCCTCTTCAGCACTTTCGACCGCTCAACCACAGACCTACAAATGCTCGATCGGCTCTCTTCAGGAGTCGTCTCCCTTCCAGCGGCAACTTACGATCTCGTACTCATACTCACCGACACAGACGGCACACGGCGCTCCGAGGCGCTGCAACTCCTCACCCGAGATGTATATGCCACTCTAGTCCCCGCCATGAAACCGGGTGCCAAGCTGCAAACCCAGGACTCAGCTCTTAATGCCTCCGATTCCATGGAAGCCATTCTGGCCGGCCTTGTGCAGTCCGACAACGGCTTTGAGAAACCAAAGTTTGATCCCTCGGCCGCTGTCCCTTTGAAGTTCGGCCTGAAGAAGAAGAATAAGTCTACCGCGCCAGCCACAGTTCCCAGTATTCCCAAGGGATTCGAAGCACCGATGGGGATCGACGCGCCAACTAATCACGACCGCGACGATGATGATGAGCTCATTAATGAAGATACGCTTCTCTCCGAGGAGGATTTAACAAGACCTATAATGCCGCGTACGTCGTCACCCCTTTTTAAATATCCTCCTTTTCACCAGCTATATATTTTCTAACACTACCTTCAGCCCCAGAGTGCCAACCAAAGACCGGCCGCCGGCGACGCGCCTGCAAGGATTGCACATGTGGTCTGGCCGACAAACTCGAAGCAGAGGATAGGGAGCGCCGTGCAAACGCAGATAAAGAATTGAACGTGATGAAGCTGGATACGGGGGATTTGGCCGAGCTGGACTTCACCGTTGAAGGCAAGACTGGTTCTTGTGGAAGCTGTGCTCTGGGTGATGCCTTCCGCTGTGACGGTTGTCCTTACATGGGTCTTCCTGCCTTTAAGCCAGGTCAGGAGGTTCAGATTCTGAATGATGTTGCGCAGCTTTGAGATACAAATACCTAACGACTGCTACTTCAATTTTTCATGACGGAATTTGGGGGTTATTGGGTCTGCATTGGGGTTTTCTGGGCTTTTGGGATATATTTCTGGGAGTTTCATACAAAATCATGCTAGGGGCGTTTGGCTTTAATTAATTATTTCGATCTACCCTGATTGTAAACTGAAATTTCGAGTGCAGCTCAACGTCATTGAGCTTCGGATGAGAAAAGTAGGAGGGAATCAATTTACTTTGCTTTCGAAATATTCAACTGCACATATTCTTTTGGTACCAAGTTGCTTTTATAAGTAGTAGTTTTCATGGCACGTCCCTTCATAAAAAAAAACCCCCGAAAAGAGATGAGTATATGGTCTACTTGACCTATGACTGGTTCTTCTTCATGTGAGCAACACGAATGCTCACTGCACGCTTGTGTGCCTCCAGGCCCTCCACAGCAGCGAGGGTCTCAACCGTCTTGGCGAGACCGAGAAGGCCATCGGCGGTCAAGTTCGAGCTGGTGATGTGCTTCAGGAAGGAGCCGAGGTTGACACCCGAGTACTGCTTGGCATAGCCGTAGGTAGCTGGAAAGGGGGGGTGTTAGCAGGATACAACGAGGTATATGAAGGAGGATACGTACGCAGGGAGTGGTTGACTCCGGCGGAGTAATCGCCAACACTCTCAGGGGTCCAGGCACCGATGAAGACACTGCCGGCGTTCTGGACATCCTTGACAAGAGACTCGGCGTTCTGGACCTGCAGGATCAGGTGCTCGGGCGCGTAGTCGTTGCTGAGGGCCATGGCCTCGTTGATGTCACGCACAACGAAGGTGACGGAGTGCGCGAGGGAGCCGCGGACGATATCCATACGTGGCAGGGCTTTGGCCTGGGCATCGACCTCGTCTTCGATAGCACCTAGCTCGGCCTCGGTCAAATCGACGGCGATGAGGATCACTTGTGAGTCGACCCCGTGTTCAGCCTGGCTGAGAAGGTCGGATGCAACAAAGGCCGGGTTGGCGGTCTTGTCAGCGATCACGAGGACTTCACTAGGACCGGCGGGCATGTCGATGCTGACACCTGCAGAGGTATCGTTGGACACAAACATCTTTGCGGCCGTCACGAATTGGTTACCTGGACCAAGGATCTTGTCGACTTTGGTGATACTTTCGGTTCCGTAGGCCATGGCGGCCACAGCTTGGGCACCGCCGGCCAAGACAATGCTCTCAGCACCGACCTTGTGCGCGACATAGACAATCTCAGGAGAGATGCTGCCATCGGAGCGGGGAGGCGAGGCTAGGACGATCTTCTTGCAGCCTGCCACCATGGCGGGAACACCCAGCATCATGGCGGTGGAGGGCAGCACAGCGGTGCCACCGGGGATGTACAAACCGACACGCTCGATGGGGCGCGAGAAGCGAGAGCAGACCACACCGGGCATGGTCTCCATCTCGAGGCTTTCGTTGCTTCCCATCTGTGCGGAGTGGAAGCGATCGATATTGCCAATGCTGATATCAATTGCCTCCTGGACATCAGGGGAGAGCTTCATAAGTTCAGCGGGGAACGGCGCTTGGATGACGGGGGAGGTGAGTGAGGTGGCATTCTCGAACTTGTGGGTGTATTTGAGCACTGCGGCATCGCCGCCATCACGGACATCCTGGATGATTGGCTTCACCAGATTGACAATGGCTTCGTTGGACTTCTGGGAAGGACGCTTAAGGTAGTCGGCAACCACCTGGGGAGTAGTAGAGGCAGTGATCACACGCTTCATCTCAATTCGGGACGTGCGATCCTCGACCGGGGCGGGCGCGGGGACAGGGGCAGGCTTTGACTCGGGCTTGGCTAGGCCAGCCTTCTCAGCCCAAGGTCCCTTGGCGTCGCCCTTTCTCCGCTTCACCTTCAAGCTCTTGAGGTCAAGGTTCCGCTCGATGTCCTCCAGGCTGACACCCGCAGCAGTGCATTTGGTCAGGGCAAAGTACAACAGGTCAGCAGCCTCGAAAGCGATTTCCTCCTTAGTGTCCGCACGACACAACTCATCGGCCTCCTCCATGATCTTAGCATCGATGAGCTTGGGCTCATTGAACAGACGCGCTGTGTATGATCCTGCGGGAGCATCCTCCTTGCGGGCGTCCAAAGTCTTTTGGAGACGAGACAGACCAGTAGATGCGCCGAAGCAGGTCTCAGTACCAAGGTGGCAGAATCCTAATGAATCATCGTGGTCAGTATACAGACATCCTCCATCATTGTATATATAGTTGGTTCATACCACGTCCTATCTGCTTGACAACAAAGACAAGACAGTCCGAATCACAATCGAAGCCAATACGGATCAACTTTTGCACATCCCCGCTCGACTGGCCTTTGTACCACAGACCACGCTTCCGGCTCTGGTAAACACCGGTGCCAGTACGCAAGGCCTCGACAATGCTCTCGTCACTGCTCCAAACAAAGCCCAGACAAGATCCCCGCTCATCAGTGACAGAAGTAGCATACAGGCCATTGGCTTGATCAGTCACAGCGGCCGATGCAATCAGCTTAGCGGCAGAGATTTGGCCAGCTACATCCCGCTCCACGGTCAACGCCTGAGAGGGAATGATAGCAATCGCACCATGTTTTGTAACCTGTGTAATAGCATCCTCCGATACTGTCTGTGTCCCAAAGGTGGCGAAGAGCCGTGGGGAGTCCGAGCTAATCTTCAGTTTCTCGGCGGCGACGGGGACGGTAGAAGGTGCAGTGCAGACACTAGCTTCGCTGCGCTCAGCGTTGACGGCAATCCATTGCTGGAAAGTATCCAATTGAGAGTCTGACAGGGCGTTGACGAGCAAACGGGAGGAGGGCACGGATTGTTCCTCGGAGAGGGTGGTCAATTGGTCCAAGTTGATCAAGATCTTGGCTGCACCAGCGTTGAGGATATCGACGAGATCGCCAGCAGAGGAGATCTCCGTTGCATCGACAAATACATCGAGGGTACGGAAGTTCTGGCGCAGAAATTGCTCTGCCTGGGCGAGACTTGAAACCTTGATCAGTACACGACCGAAGTAGGCGATTTGCTTGAGCGATAGTCCGGAGCCGGAGGTGGGGGAGGAGGGGTGGGAGATGAGGAACGGTGTCGCCATGATGGGGGGAGCCAGGAGAGCAGGGGGAGCCGGGGTGGTAAATATAGTAAGATAGAATAGAAAGATTGAACAGGAGAGTTCTATCCCCTAAGACCCTTTTGAAGGTGAAATTGTGGAGGAGAGCGATGACTCCCCCTTGCAACCTTTTTTTCCCGGGTTCGGCCCGCACGCTGAATCATCCGATCCCTGGCTTGATGCCCTCTGGGATATCTGTGATTCTACCTAGGTATGTCGTCTATCAAATTGCATCCCATGTGCATTTCTGCATTCTATGTCAATGTTTCATTTATCAGGAACCTAGACTGATGCCCGTCTGGACTACGAATCGCGACCATTTTATAGATCTTACTATCGCAGTCCGGGAATCCTAGGAGGACTTGACCTGCCATTGCTCAGAACAATGTCTGTTTTTTGAGCACAAGTGGCATCCACAGCTGTCACCTGGTGTATTGGGCTTCAAGGATGTTCAAACAGTCAACAACGACCCCCCATACTGTTCCCGCAGCAAGAGTGGTACTTGCGAGATGCAGGAATCCCGAAGGGTGGTCTGTACATGTGCGATGGTGTTGACTGTATCCGAGGATCTTGAAGAGGTCGACTGTTTCAACGTGATCATGCCATTGCCACATGACTCATTCAACCACTTGATCGGTGCTTGGGGTCGCCAGTTGACGCATAATTCGGGTTATCCTGGAACCCGGACGTGGAGAGAAGGCATCTGAGTTGAACGCGTGAGGTACAATGTAGATATCCATATATGTATTGAATCGGAGTATCGGTTAAATCGAGGCAACTTGGGGAAGGTGTCCCGTAGATATCAAGGGGCAACTGTAAGCGGGCATTTGTATCCCTGAGCATGGGATAAGTACGGAGTACAATGTTGCTAGATTGCCCGGAAACCATTCTCACGTCCAGATTAGTGTGTATCATATGCCGTATTCCGATCGAACAACATGGGTGCACGGATGCCGACCAATGCCCCCGGAAGTATTTCAAGGGCCTGGGCAGTGAGAGAGACCCAAGCTGGTCAACTCCCCAAAGAACTAACCATTTCCCAGATGCCATTCCCACCCACCCCCTCGGGCGAGAGCAGCTTCCACTCTGGCAACTGCCATTGCGGTGCCGTACGGTTCAACTTCACGTTATCCCCGCCCCTACATGAATATCCCACCAATAGCTGCAACTGTTCCATCTGCACCAGGAACGGCTATTTGCTCGTCTACCCATTCAACAAGGATTTCGTCATCGAAAAGGGCGATACACTCAAGGATTATCTCTTTGCCGGACACAGATCGAAGCACCAATTCTGCGGGGTGTGCGGAAATAGTTGCTTCATCCGTATTCTAGAGGAGGGGGCACCACCAATCTCTGCCGTCAATGTAGGTCCAATGGCCAATATGAAGTCCCAGCTACTGATCCGATTAGGTACGACTCCTTCAGGACATTGATCTTGAAAAACTGCATCTCAACCAGGTTGATGGAAGGTCGGTCGGGCCAGCATACACGCTTTGAGCCATCCTTTACCATGTACGGAGTACGGAGTAGTGATATCAGTTTCAAGGGCCAAGGTCATAAATGATAGCTCATAGCACTATCTACTCTGTCCCGGGAAGTGTAGAGCTGGTGAATGATGTAATATAAGTTACATATCAAGAAATGGCACCTCTTCAAATTCCAATGTTATGTTCTCAACCGGTATTCCGTTGAGACAAGCGGCTGGAGTTCAAATCCTCAAGTCTGCGATCGCCATGAATGGTCCAAGTCCGACTCAACAGATACGTTGGTCAGACCCTTCAGTCCGGTGACAAAAGTCCATCACATTGAGGGGTATGTTGCATGTCAAAGCACCCAGCGTGACAGCTACGGTGCTTAGCCACCGTTGTTGTATATCTTACCCTGGACCAGAGTCGAAGACGTGTTTTCCTAGTGGTCGCAGTCGTATATGGTGAGAAAGGTCGAGTCCCAAGGTCTACAACATATGTAAAATATGAGACACGACATAGATATATTATACTCCGTAGATGATCTCAAGTTTCAACCATGTGAAAACCAAGATGTGCATCGATGCACGCCAATAGTGGCGCCCTTGCAGATCCCCCTGAATCTTTGTCCGAGACCTTTTTTCTTTTTTTTTTTCTGGCATCTGATGCACGCGATTGAATCGGAATGCAAATGACATGGGAGAAAATAAACAAGAGTCGGCCCCCGAGGTCGCGTGTTCACCATGCCTTCCTCTTTCGTCCTGGCAACCTCATTCAAGTTTATATTTAATTGCATTTGATGCGCAGTCCAGGCCTCTCGTTCTGCAATTGAAATTATTCCTACTTTTGCATCCGGCCTAAATCAACCTATATATCTATACAACCCACATTCATCGCGTAATCATGCGCATCTCCTCCTTGTCACTCCCTTTGGCAGTGTTGAGCCTCGTTGGGCCTGCTGCCGCCTATCCCTACCCGGAATCAGAGGTGGTCTTGCGCCACGACTCGGACAAACAGGCCAAGGCCGATGCTGTCAAGGAAGCCTTCCAACATGCATGGAATGGATATGTCAAATATGCGTTCCCTCATGACGAGTTGCATCCGGTGAGCAATGGCTATGGTGACTCCAGGTGAGCATATTTGGTGATCCCGGTTTTGCTGAGAATTGACACGCGATAGGAATGGATGGGGAGCCTCCGCTGTCGACGCGCTCTCGACCGCCATTATCATGGGGAACCGAGAGGCTGTTCAAAAGATCCTGGACCACATTGAAACGATTGACTTCTCCAAGACCAAGGACGAGGTCAGCCTATTTGAGACTACGATCCGATACCTGGGGGGGCATGTTGTCCGGTTATGATTTGCTCAAGGACTCTGCAGCGAACCTGGCCCTCAATTCCACTCAAGTCGATACCCTGCTTATCCAGTCGAAGAAACTCGGTGATGTCTTGAAATTTGCCTTTGATACACCGTCCGGGGTTCCCTACAATAACCTGGACATCGAATCCAAAGGGAATGATGGCTCGAGAACCAATGGCCTTGCAGTAACCGGAACTCTGGTGCTGGAGTGGACCCGACTATCCGATTTGACGGGCGATGAGGAGTATGCTCAGCTAAGCCAGAAGGCCCAATCGTACCTCTTGAATCCTCAGCCGTCAAGCGGAGAGCCATTCCCCGGCCTGGTGGGAAGCAACATCAACATCTCCAATGGTCATTTCACCGATAGTGCTGTCTCGTGGAACGGCGGCGATGACTCGTTCTACGAGTACCTGATTAAGATGTATGTGTACGACCCCAAGCGCTTCAAGTCATACAAGGACCGTTGGGTCCTCGCAGCCGAATCAACAATCCAACACCTTCAGTCGCATCCCGCCCCTCGCCCGGAAATAACCTGGTTGGCCTCATACAACAACGGTCAATACGATCTTAGCTCACAGCACCTGACCTGCTTCGACGGCGGCAGTTTCATCCTGGGCGGCACCGTGCTGGCCCGACAAGACTTTATCGATTTTGGCTTGCAGCTTGTGGATGGCTGTGAGGCTACTTATAATCAGACCCTGACGGGCATTGGGCCAGACTCCTGGGGCTGGGATCCGAAGAAAGTGCCATCCGACCAAAAGGACTTTTACGAGAAGGCCGGATTTTATATCAATAGCGGTGCATATGTCTTGCGCCCTGAAGTGATCGAGAGCTTCTACTACGCGTACCGCGTCACGGGCAATGAGATCGTGCGTTCTCTTTTCTCCTGATGGTTCCACTCATACTGATCTAGATATAGTACCGTGACTGGGTGTGGAACGGTTTCAAGGCAATCAACTCTACCTGCCGCACTGGTTCGGGCTTTGCCGCTGTAAGCGACGTGAATACGGCTGGCGGGGGGTCCAAGTACGATAACGAGGAGAGCTTCCTCTTTGCCGAAGTCCTCAAATATGCGTACCTTGTCCATGCAGAGGGTACGTTGCGGGCCTTTCCAGTCATCCCTCTCTTCCATGGAACATTGCTAATACTAGACCTGGGTGTAGATGCCCCCTGGCAAGTCCAGAAGGGCCAAAAGAATGAGTTCGTGTTCAACACTGAGGCTCACCCCATGCGCGTGGCGCCCACCTAGGTGATAGGAGTTGGATTATCACTACACTATATAGTACTTGCATTAAGCCTATATCATCATTGGACTTGATGTAAAGCAGACGAAAATTCTGTAGCCCTCTACATTCTCCCTACACTGTGTACAGCCAGCACATAGAAATGCTAAGTCGTTTATTTGTAGCCCAAAGCCACCCAGGGGGTCGCAAGAACATATGCCACATCAGACGACTGCGCTGTCCTACCGTATTTCAGCTCTTTTGGCCGGTTTAAAATATGAAAAGGAGGACAATATTTACGGATCGAGCCGGGTAGCCTATACTAATTCACAACTGCGCGCACGCTATGTGACTTGGCAAGTCAAGAGCAGCGTGAAAGATCACGAAGTGGGACATAGGAAGTCCGGCAAAAGATTTTAGCCATCGCACGCCATTCCTAGAATCGGTGACACAATAACTTGCAAAAAATCCGCAGGATAAAAGTCCGTCAGATGAGCCATCAATTCACCTAGTGGACATATTATGATGCTATTTGTGCAGTGTATCACGAAAACGCTAACTGGTCGGATAAGAGCTTTATCCTTGTGTATAAGAAGGCTATGCAATACCGTGGAATAAGAAGAGTAATATTGACAATTGCCCTAAGCTATCAACCCAAATGGCTGTCTTGAAGCAAACTCTCTTAGCAGCCCTAGCAACAACGTCCTTACCTCAATCAAGCAACAGCCTTTATCGCTCACGACCCGACCTTGCACCACCTCGATTAAACATCACCATCCCCGCCACAAACCCCAATGGCTCCGAGTATGTCTTTATTGCTCCTTACTCTATGGGTGGAACCATCGAGCGGCCCGGTCCATACATCTACCGCAAAGACGGTGACTTAGTGTGGGCCGGCACAGGGTACTACGCCGGCTTCGTGGCTGATTTCCATCCTACTATATACCACGGGAAGACTGTTCTTCAGGCATTTCAGGGCAATATGGATAGCTCCCACGGTGAAGGGTTTGGTCAGCATGTTCTGCTGGATCAGAGTTATCAGCACGTTGTCACCTCGACTGCCGGGAACCACCGGGTCTCATCGATACATGAGTTCAATATTATTCGGGGGAGACGGCTTTGATTGAGGTCTTTTATACGACCCCGGTCAACTTGTCGGCTTACGGTGGGAATGATTCGCAAAAGTGGCTAGGAAATGGAATTTTTCAAGGTTTGTTCGTCATGAGTACCGGAAAATGCGTTTGTTTGCTGATTAGGTATTTGACAGAAAACGATATTGCCACAGGAGAGTTGATCTTTGAGTGGAATGCGTTAGAACATGTTGATCCTTCTGGTAAGATAATTTGCTGTCATTCAATCCCGACCATATTTAACCTCCAATTAGAAAGCCTAGTGACACTAGACTCTACTAAGGCCAATAGCGGATTGTCCGCCGCCGAAGCATGGGATTTCTTCCACATCAACAGTCTCGATAAAAACGCAGAAGGAGACTACCTGGTCTCGTCTCGACACACTAGCACGATATTCAAGATCAACGGCACTGACGGCTCGATCATCTGGCGGCTCGGTGGCAAGTACCCTAGCTTCTCACAAATCGGAAACTGGACCTTTGGATTCCAACACGATGCCCGCTGGCAACCACAACTCAACCAGCCGGGGACAGAAGTCATTTCGTTCTTTGACAACTCCGGCGATGGAACTATTACCTTCAACGAATTGTCGCGGGCATTGGTTGTCCAAATCAACCGCACAGATAGCACCGCGACAGTTCTCCGCAAGGCAACGGCCCCTTACGATCTCCAAGCCCAGTCCCAGGGAAATACACAGCTACTTTCTGACGACAGAATATTCGTCAACTGGGGATCGGAGGGCGCTTTTACAGAGTTCGATGCTGATAATAGGATTATATACCATGCTTTTATCCAGACAGGATCGGTCAGCTACCGTGGCTTTTTGGCGAACTGGACTGCTACGCCGAAGGAAATTCCAGCGCTAGTTGCCCTCAAGACCGCTTCTGACCTTGTTGAGCTTTATGTGTCTTGGAACGGGGACACGGAAACTTTGGCTTGGAGATTCTATTACGTGAACGAACAGAAGAAGACGCGGATTGGTGAAGTGGATAGGGACTCCTTCGAGACAGCATTTACTTGGGAGCCAAAATTTGAACTGTCTTCCGATGCTACATTTGTTGCTGAAGCCATTGGTGTGAATGGGGAGTCTCTTGCGCGGACAGGTTTGACTGCTACAACTGTCGATATCAAGGTGCTGGCGTGATGATCAAAATTGTGAAGCCTGACTCTGAGATATTTTGGACATTACGTTACGTTTGACTACGGTTATTCATCTTGCATGAGTGTGGAGTAAAGCCAGGTCTGAAAGTGAAACGTTCATATATACTATATTGTAGTATTAGACATTATTTGGAGAGGGATTGTAAAACCACGAATCAGGAATTATACATTAAATATCACTCAGTAGCAGACCATAGTAGAATGGTGCGCCTCACAATAACGACCAGTGCAATCACTGCCAATGGGCATCACGCGTCAACATGCCTCTTGGTCTCTAGCTGCTTTCCAGCCTTGCGCAGCCTATGACACGCGATAGAGGCGCGCACACAAAGAATGATGTTGAAGAGGCTGGATTTATCTTCTATTAGATATATCAAAAAGAAATAAGGGACGATTCACTCACATTCCAAGAAGAATCATAGAACACGCCAAACACTCCGCCCCATACAATGGGTCTAGATTATGGGTGCTGGAGTAACCATAACCACCAAGATTCCAATAGGCAAGCTCGTGCAAATCGAAGCAGACTGTAATCAACTGGGCAATGCAAGCTATGCAGTCGAACGCAACGATGATACCAGGGTGGACCACACAGTTGCAAAAGACGACAATGAGAAGGATAAGGGACCAGAGGAATCCGTATGAGGCCTGATCAGGAGAAATATACTCAGCACAGCTTCTTCAAAACAGCTGATGAAAGGATCATAGGGGGAACGCTTGCACTCACTGTTCCCAGGTTTATACTAGACCATGCTTCTCCTAGTCCATCGCTTGAAACAACTCCTTCCTGATGCTGAACCATGGCCCAAGCAAAGCAGATTATTGCTACCATGGTGCACAGTACCGCGCCGAATCGTAGAGACAAAAGCGACAGCCATTTTCTTTCTTTCCTAGGTACTGCCTCAATGCAAAAAGAAGAGGACAGTTGGTGGCCCAAGACTATAGACATGATTGTAAGTCTAACGACATATATTGAATACTGAATTTCAGGGCGGTTGCTGGAAGGTGCAAATGAGACGAATAAGACATTTCCATGATTTCGGGGTACATATATATCTGTTCGCAATACAAAAATAGTTCACACAGCATGCTAATCATTGCCTTCTATATGTTAACACAGCCCTCGAGATACGGTGATGCCAAGGGCCTAAACAAGACCCCACAAATTCTGATCCAGTTGACTCGATGAGCATGGATACTCATACAGCAAACTCGTATTACTGTATCTGTGATCTAATTCACACGGCCCCCAAGCTGAGCCTCCCAGGTACCGCATTCAGCAGGTGCTTTCATCGTTAAAGGAATTGGTCTTGGCATATCGCGAAAATGCTGCCGAATTTCTGTTTGACTCCATGTGCTGTGGCTTTTGGCTCTTTCGTGATTATATGATATTCCACCGAGGCCTTCAATAAGTCATGGGGCAACTTGATCTCTGATGCTTAATGCCAGAATTGTACCTATACATTGTTTAATCGCTGAATCGAGCTACATTACTCATTCAAAGTATGGACCTTGATTCCCGGGCTGGAGTTCCAAATTTCGTTTCATCAATGAAGAATAGTCTCATGAAATTGTGTGTGCTATATTGAGCCTCCGTCGATGACACAGATATCTTCAAAAAGGGCAGACACTTTCGGGGACTTCACTGTTTCGTCTCCCACACATTCCATTTTTAATCTTAAACCGTCGATTAACGACGAAGTTGGCTTTCTCATGCGAATGTTTCAGTCGAAGCATTGTCTTCTTGTATCCCTGTTTGACTCTACCGCTACTCTCCCTGCCCCCTTCGGGAGATCCTCATAGCTCATTTGAATTCATCGCTCTATTGTCTTATTATGTTGAGGGAGCCGAATACCGCGTGTCGGAATACAATTGATCAAACCCATTGTGATTAATTAGAGATATTATACTCATACAGTTGGTGGTCCCATCTCTCTCGGTTTTTTAGTCTTGTTTTGTCTACCTATTCAATGGTATGACCTCGCTGCTTCTTACAATGTCATGTGTTTGCCTTATCACGCCACTCTGCTCAACTCGAATGTCAAACGATGCGAGTGGACGAGTTGATAGGTAGGTAAACCCCGCGGAGACCAGAAACGGTTCTCTGGGTCGGGTAGATCATTGGATACAGATGTCGGTCGTACCATTCGTGAACAATCTGCCGACGTCCGCGGGTAAAATGAATTACATCACCACCAGCATGGGATTCCGGGGTGATATATATATATATAAAGAGATGACTTTTCTACGTGGAGATTTTTATTTCTACTGTTTTCATCAATTATCACGATTACTTCACACATTTGCAATATGGACAAATACAATTCTCGGTGGGTCTCGTTCCACATTCGGGACCACATCAAAGACGGAGAGATCCTAGTGCAGAACACTGTCATTGAAGGGTATCTATAATTCTCGGACTTTACCCGATCTCTACTAACACCTGGCAGTGGCGAGTTCATCGACCCTAGCGATCGCCGCAAGTCACTCACCGAAGACGAGATCGACGAGATTAAGATCTCTCCTGACGGTGTTGGCGAAATTGGCGCTAGCGGACTTCGCGGTAGTGAGGGCCGCCTGGACTTGTTTCATGACAATCAGAAGATTTGCGAGCTTCACTGGGAAAATCGTGGTGGAGACCACGAAAACCTGGTGGAGGTGTTGGACAAGAGCGACAAGTACACTATCTGGCATGGAGGATGGAGTCATGATGTCGGTCCCCTGGGACATGTCTTTGTGGATGTTGGGAGGAAGGAATAATTACGCTCCACAGGCCAATGCCCTGCTGAATAGCGAAGAGCGCGGTCCGTGGAGCACGAAGTGGCAACACTTGGGAACATGGGTATTTTTCATACCGAACACAAACACAAAAATACCAAAAACATTGCAAAATTTCAAAACATCAGTGGAAGGTCGCTCGCACCTTCTTCATTCCATTTCTACTCCAATATCAATGCGTATGGAATTGTCAAGAGCTGTCCGCCAAACTGCATGGTATCATCTAGGAAGATAATTTCATGCCAAATCCCACGTCTGAGCTCCGTCAATATCATAGGATGGCCTGATCACTCCGGTCGTCTTGCCACTGGAATAGACTCGGATATCCCATGTTGACTACGGAATTCGGAAGAACACTTCCCGATAGAGTGACGAGCCGCAACGAGAAAAGGAGGACTCCCACATATCACTGGCTCGAGAATATGAAATTACTTGACGACAGGCACCGAGAAGAAATCATTGAAAGAATGAGCAGCGAAAGCAGCCTAGAAGTGAGTAGTTCAGCTTGACCTGAGCTCTGCATCCGCAACTGGCAGTTCTGTAATGACGATAGATCAATAAAAACTCAAAGTGTGAACAGGCAACCAAGAGTGCTGTCCGCGAGCCAGGCCTTATCTTTCCTCCAGCCGTGGACGATTAAATCTCTTCCCACCTTTACCACTTCCTCAATTTGCTTTTCAGTGCCCCATCCAGGAACTCTACTGCCAAAGCAAATCAGATGCACACCAATGTGAATCACAGTGCGGAATGCCATTTCATCGTCGAGGTGCCCATATCCCTTTAAGAACCCTTGTATCATCCACAGTCCACCGTCCAAATTCTTGAACAGCTTTGTTTCATACAGCTCAGCAATCATTTGGCCTAGGTCCAATGCGCGGCTGCCAATCTGCGACATTTCCCAATCGGCAATGAACACAGTGGTCTCAGATTGATGAGTGGGAGGTACGTTTGGAAGAAGAACACTAGAAATCATGTCAGTAATCTGGCTTAGTCTATATCAATGTTGGATCGAAGAGAGCATACTTTCCAGTCCAGAAGTCACCGTGAATAATTCCATATCCATCATCATAGGTCTGTCGCTCAAGCTCTGCCGCGGCGAGATCACGAACCTTCTCAAAAATATCACGATCTTCCCCTAGAATATCTGGGAAATCTTCAATGGTGTTGATCAGCAGAGTATAATTCACCCAAAACTTCAAGTTTTTCATCTCTTGGTTGGTCCCAAGCTCTTTCGTCAGCTGCTTCTCGGCCGTCCAAAGGTGAAACGATCTCAGCCAAGATCCAAGGGCGCTGCCCAAGTCTCGCCCTGAGGATTCGGACAAGTTATGAGAAACCTCCGAGAGTAGAAAGTTCTTCAGGTCGATTGAATTTGGGAGATCTTCCACCACCTGAGTGTCTGTAGCCCGATTGAAGTCTAATAGGCGTGGTGATTTCACAATTATTTTGCCAGTTGTATAAATTGCTAGGCCATCGAGAGCTCGTAGAATGGCTGCCTCGAAGTGCTAATTTAACATCAGTTTAGCCGAAAGAGGATAAGTCAATAAAATGAAACTAACACATCTCGTGAGATCGATTTTAAAAGTCGGGTTGGAAGCCGAGTGATCTTTGGTGTGCTTGATAATAATAGATTGTCCACTTGAGGCAAGTATGCCTCGATAGACAAAGTTGGCCGTACCTCCGGATAGGCGCGTAAGCGAGGAGCAAGCGAAGGGAGTAGGGAAAAGCTGCTGCGCAATTTTCTCCCGGACTTGATCTTGGTCATTTGCAGTCATTGTTGTATGGCTTGAGTGGAAGTTGGAAAACATTCAAGCTGTTCCCACGAATCTTTCCCCTTGCAGGGCTTGAATGCGCTAGTACACATATGGTCCCCGCCTTTATAGCAGATCTCTCGGGAAGACGTGTCACAAAGTACATCATCCACGATTAAATTATGACTAGATATTCAATACAAGTTCTAATACGTCCGATGGCTGCTTGGATGGGGTGATTACCTAGTGACTGAGAGTGCACTAACTTAATAAATTAAATATGCTCTTTTCTCTATTGCCGATAGTATGAATTTCTTGGTGATTTCTAGACGTATGGAATAAATAGCTTTGACTAGAATGAGTAGAATTTTGATCTAACAACTAGTGAATTTGTTCTTGTTATAAAGCGTGGTCACAAAAGGAGAGTGAGATGACATGAGTGACCTTTAATAATTCAACAAACAGTGAGAAACAGTCAACATTGAGCGAATGAGCTCCATAAGCTTGAGATAACTCCGTTTCTGCTAGTACCACTCGATTCAAGCGAAAGGTCCAGGTGTTGTCGTACACTATAATGGATTGGAATGAGTACATATGAGCTTCTGATTTTCCTTCTTGTATATGTGACATTGAACAAACTCACTGGGTGTGGCATCTATGCCGAAACAGAGCCATACGCGTGCATTTGCCATCCACTGAAGTCGAGACATGCGTTCTTCTTGAACTTGTCACTCCCGCCATCTGCCCACCAATCCGAAGACGCCTCTGAGGCAGCACCACAACCATCCAGCAAGAAAAATGTTGCCCGCTGACGGTGGCCTCCATATTCTAAAACTCGGAAGGACTTTGTTGGGAATATATTGGTATTCCTGCAGGTGTTATCCCACACATTGACTTCTTTGCCCTCGCCAGAGCAGTTGCGGCCCGTAAAGGCGCGGATCTTGTAGGAAACGGCCCCAGAGCTGAGGCAGAAGAGAGTGAGGACTTTTCCAAGATACATGGTGTCTTTTTGGTAAATATAAAAAGTTTATGCGGTGGATAATTGACTGGTCAGAAGAGTGGCGAATTCAACTGAAGTAAAGCATGAGCTTCAACAACTACAAGAAGGGGTGCCTTCTTATATTTAGAGGCGGAATAAGCTATGTAGAGTGTGTCTCCTTGGCATAAGCTGAGTTCGCCTGGGCGTTGGTCGCCTTACAACTACGCCAAGAATGCGTATACGATAGGATACAAAAGTCAGCCTGATGGGGTCTGATCTCGCGCTCAGCCACAACTGCGTACTTCTAACCAACACAAGAGATCCAATCGGGTACAGAGCAGTGAATGTATTTCTTTAGACAAACCGATCATGTCTTCATATAGAACACAAAAATCAGCCTACCGGGATCTGACCTCACGCTGAACCGCATAGACCACTCCGTACTTGTGAGAATTTTATAGCAACACCAAAATAGCTACGGGTTAGAGTATATTCTGTAAAAAGTCAGGCTGATGTGAACTGAAATTATACGCACTGAGCTCGTGCTCAGCCGCTTATACTACCCGCTCCAAACATCTAATAAAATCCAGTGAGATATACTGGCCAATGTTCTAAAAATTGATGTGATATTGATTACGACAATGCTATGCACTATAGATGGCTTTGTTACCTAATGTTTGACTGCTACCGTGCCTCCTAGCCCAACGGAGCTTGCGGGCACTGTTGCGTGAGGGTTTTGCTTTATGCCATACGATACTGTGGATCGCTGTGTCGGCCGCTGAAGTGGTCTCCCTATTTTATCGAAAACTTAACCTTGGAGAGAGACTCAAAATTTGTATTTACTCCGGTATAAAATTCAGAGTCTCTCGTAGCCTTTTGAAGTTCTAAGATAACCTCGTAAGTAGCGTAGAGTTTACTCTAAACCTCTTATTGGTTATATAGAAGTTATTCTAAGCTCTTTAGCTAAAAGGACCTATTGATAGACCATCATTCTTTTAAAAATATATATATCGTTCGACTTCCTAGCGAAGAGCTATCGATAATCTAATATCAGCGAAAAGTATATAAAATAAGATACTAGACTAAGATAATAAGAGAATTTAAGATACCCTTTCTTAGGTTAGGCCGACCTATTAAAGTAGTTAACTAGTTAAGATCGGTGATATTACCAAGCTTAGAAAGAACCTTTTAATAAGTAGTATATAATTACTACCAATTTTCTATATGAAAGCGCTACTAGATACTGTGAATAGATCCTTAATACCCGAGTAAGATATTTTGGTTGTGCTCGTCTTCACGGCTTAAGCACTTGTCTTACTCCAATCAAGCCAATACGGGGAAAAGTCACCGATCAGTTGCCCCCTAAAGACACACTCGGCTAAACGCGTCAGCCCTTTATTCTTTACAATTTCTACTAGTCTCACCACCTCCAATGCTTGCTTTGATCCTGTGCTCTCGTCCCAGGAGAGCTTATAAGAGAAGGTTCCACACACACTTTATCCCCCACGGGGCCCTCGAAACAGCCCAACTAGTGTAGGACCCCGAGATGTTTCCCCAGTACCACGAGATCGAATTCAAATTACCCGTTAGAGGATCTGCATATCATTAGGGAAGGTAGGGTATCGACTATACCCCTCAGCCCACCACTTATCATTGTCGCATACAGTGACTTTCTTGTCCAAGAGAGTGGCCCTACTGCTCACCCGTCGGCGCAGACGGGAATGATTGTGATATCCATATTAGATTCATGACTGGAGATTCTCACCGGTACCCTCGGAATCCTCTCGTTTGCTGATGCTGATGTCTACATAATATACCCACAGCCGCGCACTGGACGGAATTTCATCTCATGAATCACAGTCCCCAGACCATTATAGCCACGCAAGACCCGCCACAGTATATATCTACTTTTTTGGAATCGTCAATATATCCCACGCAATAGGTGCAGCTGTTACCGATCTTTCCGTTGTTCTGATTCATCATTTTGCCTGCCTGTTTGTAGACCGTATCGCCAAAGCCAAAGGAGGTATTAGTTACTCCAACAGCCTCACCTACCCTGAAACTGAAAGGGTCATAATCACTCGATGTCATCTGTTTTGTCTCTTAGCTTGCCTGCCGTTACACTACCCAAAAGGCCATGGTATCTTTCTGAGCATCATGAGCGGCAATCCTGTTTTGGCAACAATTGCATGTTGTCTGGCCTCATTTCATCCTTCATTCTAATATCTCCCAGGAAGTATTAGCCACCTTCCCATGTTACAAAGAGCCACTCTTGACTAAGTGATAGTTCTGCCTTTTTCACATAGTACTGAGTACGTAGTTGGAGACAGCGCAGATGACTAGCCTCTACTAAATGAATCATGATTACTCGGAGAGTCTCGTAACTAAGGTCGACGCATTCAGAAGTTGAATCCAGCCTGTATAACTACCGTCAACCAGCTTGGGCAGACAGAAGCACTACTTGACATGCGCAATCACGTCGACAAAGCAGAGGGCCTGACAGGACCCGAGCAACACCTACGATAACTGGCACCTGGTAATTTGATCCAGCATACAGAGTGGAGCACAAATTCTTCTCTCTGTTCCATTTCAAGGTTAGGTACAAATATCGTAAAGACACCCATAGACAGCCTCGTACCTAACTTTAGACGTTCCTCAAGGAATGAAGGGAATATTCAAATATATCCTGGTTAGCCATCGAATAAATTAGACAACAAATAGCCCCCAATGCTACTTTCATCAAATACTGTGCTTAGGTCAGGTAGATCGGCAAAGTCAAGCCCATCTATGTGGAAGTCTGTCTGCCTTGGCTGGCCAATCCAACCAGTAGAGTCGTGTTCTTGTAGTACCCCCTGAGTTTCTGGTTGTGGAATATATAAATTTTCCGGGGTACCATATGTGGCTTGGAGATCAAATGCCGTTGGCTGAACAATATCTGTTTCACCAGCACCTGCCCGCCTCAAGCCTTGAGCCATTTGCCGAATACTGTTCCAGTATCGTCGGGCAGGAAACCAAGAATCCGATAGTTCCTCCAGTGTCTTTGAAAAGGTTTCCAACAGATGTTTTGTGGACGTTTGACCTTGTGTGTGTCCAAGATGGTGGAGCTGAAAGGTCACAAGAGCAGCAGAAAGTGTGCAATGCGTAGCCGTGACAGGGCTTCTTCGAAAGCTGCCAAAGGTAGATCGATATTGCTGACTCAGGATGGCTATTTCTTTCGCAGATTCAGCACAGAGAAGAATTGCGGTTTCAGCAGCCTTTTCTACCCCGTTGTGTGGTTCTGCTAAACCATAGCCTTGTTTCTGTTTGGGAAGAAACGGTTTGCACAGTAGTATGATGGATGTGTGATATGTCATGTTGAGTATGAAGGCATGGGGAAACATGTTCTTCTTTGTGGACCGATCCACTTTCAGTTCAGGAGGAATGGAATACTTCCACCTTTTGAGCTCGAGTAGATATGTGTCAAATAGACATTGCATTTCTACGCCGGATGATATCTTCCTAGGGCCATAACTATAAGAGTGATATCAGCTGTTAGCCCTCGAATGAGGCGACGGTTTACACACATATTGACCAATATCTTCTCCAGCGTCTGAGAGTGGATTGATAATTCACAATGAAGCGTCGAAAGCAAAGTTTTGTCTCTGGAATTGAGTTCCCTAGGTGTGCTGCTTTCTTTGGTAGAATTCAGAGCTGATGGCAGAGCAGCGGAGCATTGGAATTCCTTTAGGACAATGATATCGAATAAGAAAAGAGGCAAAATTGGCGTAAAGCAAAAAAAAGTAATGCCAAGGTTGACTCACAAGCATGGTGCAAACGCGTCCGCTATATGTGGACCACAATTTGTCTGTGCAATAAAGTGACCAGTAGATCCGAGTTCGTAATTGAGCTTCTTCTGAAGAAATCTGCCCAGCGCGTAATAAAGCAGAGGGATCAAGATTGAATCCCATATCCAAAGCCATGCGGCAGGCCATGCCGTGACGTAGCCAAGCGGCAGCGTCCGAGCCCATTGCCTAACAAGACGGCATGATTAGAGGGATAAGCAAGCTGGACTGAGGGATGTTGCTCACAACGTAGGCCATAGCCATGACCGAGAGTGATTGAACTGTAACAATGCTCGGTGATCTGAGATCAAAATGCAACATCACCTCAGCACTGTCAAGAAAAAGTTGACCAGCGGTGTTCGGGTCATTTGGATCTGTACGCAAATCTATTCTTTCTGAGTAGCGAGAGCCAATAGCAAGTATGCAGTTTAAGAGCAACGTGCTGAAGAATCGACCGTTATCTCCTTGACTTTTTCGAAACAGGGTTTCATCGACTACCTGATTCCATGGCTGCTCCCATTGAAAGTAGAGATCAAGAAGATGATCTACTAATTCGGGTGGGATATCTTCGTCCATATCAAGCATCTGGGGTCCTCGGCTCGGATTTGTGGTCATGTAGGGCTCTAGGGGCACCGTTAGGGGAAGAGAATCTAGTGGATATAATCAAAAAAGATCAACATTTGACATCTCGCTCAGCGTGATTTCAGTGCGCTCTCATTTATTAAACTCACTGTTGGCATACTGCAAAAGCTCAGCTCGCCCACTGCTTGTGCCGAAATATCGAGTCTCCCCATCACACTCAAAACTCAATGAGCCATTTAGCGACAATGTCTCCTCAAGCTGGGTGGAGGAATTGGTGCACGCTTAGGGCTTAGGGCTTAGGGCTTAGGGCTTAGGGGCTTAGGGCTTAGGGCTTAGGGCTTAGGGCTTAGGGCTTAGGGCTTAGGGCTT